TGTTTATCCAAAGGATGTTTATCCAAAAAGTTTATCCAAATGCAACAACAAGATTACATTTGTGTAGCGTCTTTCACGTCGGGAGGACGTTCCAAAGCCTTGATAATATAGTTATTAAATAATATAGTTAGTAAAGATATGTCATTTATTGTTACAAAGATATTTTGTTACGTTCAATATAATTTTACAGAATCTTCAGATTCATTTTTGGACTGGACAAACACAAGTTCCCTTTAAACAGCTTTATAACTTAATTGCACATTGTTAAGACAAAACAAATTGCATGCTATTTTTGGCTCCACTGGCTTTTGCTACAGTACAAAGCAGAAATGAAACCCATCCCCATCATCACAGCTTGGCTATAATCATATTAAGCATTTAAAAACCTGGAAGTAAAACCAATGACCCTGATAAGAAATCACTTTATAATACTAATAGCAGTATTGAACTGATGAGAAAAGGCATCTTCAGCTAAAAGCACTCGCAGCTTGCAGAGAATTGTTTGCTGACGCAAGCAAAGATTTAGTTTTATGCTACACAAGTAAAAATTCCATTACAAGCTGTTACATTGGGGGAGCTGTAACGTGGGGTGGGGGATACCAGTCCAGACCCTAAGAGAGAGACAGAATGAGACACACACACACTCATAGACAGAGGAGACACACATTCTCAGAGAGAGAGAGAGAAACTTAAACACACACGAAGAGAGAGACACACATACACACAGAGACGCTCATAAACACACACACATTTAGAAGAGACACACAGCCCGTTTGGGCCTACGCAGGTGTCCTCTGCCATCCACCCCACCTGCCCCTGCCAAATGGGCCACCCTTAAAGTGAAAAAATGTAGGTTGGCATTAAAATGAACCTCAATAGTACCAATCAACTCTCTGCAATTTTCCATAGTTCATAAAATTTCCCCGCAATTTTCCGCATTTCCCCCTTCAAATTTCCCCTCCATTTTTGGTAAATATTTCCGCACTTTTCTATTGGCCCGGTTCATGACCTGGGCCGATAGAACATAGCGGAAATAATTGACAAAAATGTTGTGGAGAATCGCTGGGAGGTATTTAAGAATAAGGGCTGACAAGTTGGCGAAGCAGACCTGGGAGGAACAACTCCCAATGGCTGGCAAAGCCTTTGTGCATCAGTTATCTCCTGAATACAGCTGCTCTGCCTGAAGCCAGAAACATCACCTTGGTGCCTCGAATTATTTCATAGCAAGGAGTTATAGTTGCTGTCAATTTATCAGCAACAGACAAAGCACTTGGAATCACATGGGACCTTCCAAATCTGGGGTATTAATTGGCATAGCTCAGACATGATTTCCCCATTGAGCTTGACTCTCCCTCGATATTTGCTCCTCTGCTGCATTTAGATAGTTTATTCCAGGGCTGTGAACCCTTTCTCTGGCTGGCCCTGCTGTTTTTGTATGTCCACAATTTGGCACTGATTTGTACCACATGGCAGTTCAGTTTACTCCAGTATCAATAATAAACCCAGTTTCACATCTAATTTATCTGCAATTGGCAGCCAATTGCGCACAGCAGTCGCACAAACAGTCGTGGATTGAGTGGCTAAATTATTATTTTCTTGAGTGGTTATTATCCCTGGAAAAATGAATCGCCAATCGAATAACGCCCGGGTCCCGACTTACTGCTAGGTAAACAGAGGCGTGTGGAATAAGGAAACTTGCCCAACATTTTGTCCTGCCGGGAATCAAACCCAGGTCTCTTGCTTGTGAGGCGAGCGTTCTAACCACTGAGTTTAGGAAGAACTAACACTAATGAAGAGAACCTGCCAAACAGTCAATTACAACAACTTGCACTTATGTAGCATCCTTCACATAGGATACGTCTTGGAGTAATTCACAGGGACAGTGTTGGATACCGAGCAAGATGAAAGGACACTGTGGGTGAGAACAAAGAGACAAATTTTTAAATAGGATTTAACGACAAATAGAGAGGGGGCAACAAAGAGGGGCAGAGGGAGGGAGTGCCAGAGGGTGGGGGGGCCAGCCTCCCTATACCCCTCTTTATTACCCCCTCTCTATCTTTGGACTAATGTTTGTCTGGAGGATTGTTGACCAGGACATTGTGAGCAACTCCCTTCACTTTTTGAATAGATTCATGGATCTTTAATGCCCTCCTGAACAGGCAGAAGGGCCCAATTTAATGTCTCATCTGAAGGACCTCACCTCTGATGATGCAGCACTCAACCAGATCTTAGATACAACACCAAATTGTAATAAGATGTAAAACAGATAACAGTTGGAAAACAAATATTTCTAAAGAGTTGTATCCATAATTATCAGCTCTATTGGAATTTTAAACATGCTCTGCTGAATAGGTCATCTGAAATGCATTTACTTTTGAATAATAAAAAGCCTTACATTTTACATAATCCTTTTCATGTTTCAATAGAAAGCGCCTCACATAATATGCTGTAAAGCGTAATGTCTGTGTATTGTACAAGTAAAGGGATATATTGTTTTCTTTACTTTCCAATCATTTTAAGTGCCCTTTAGGCCGGGCTGCACACAGAAGTCAAATTCCTGGAGTCACATGAAACTTTCGGCTCAGAACCTGTGTTCCATTTAGCTTGGCTGAGACTTCACCCACCACTGGGTGGAATTCACCATCAAAATCTCTTTGCCTTACTGCCTCACTTCCTGGCTTCAAAACACTTTCAAAAGCATAAGTCCTTGAATGTGCCTGTCATCAGTGTCCCTCCTTGATACTCACAATTATATCCGTCAAGTGTTTCGAGATGTTTACTTTACCAGAAAGGCTTTCTTTACGATTGCTTCCCTATCCCAATCTACTGATGTATTGTGATCTCAATTTTCTCTGCTCTAAATGGAAGCATTTCTCAAGCATTCCTTGTGGTTTTAAAATGCAAGGAACTGTAGAAATAAAGGTCATTTTTTTCCTGATAAAATTGTGGCAAGCTGTACGTTTGTGAATGTCACATTTACAAAGGGGCACAACAGGCTGAATGAAGTCAGAGAAATGACAACATACTCCAAGACTTCAGTCTTACTGTGGATGAAATTTTCTTTCCATTCAAGATGGTGAAAATCAGACTAAATTAAAAATTTCCATTTAGCTGAAAACTACAGAGTCTGAAGTGAATCCAACTGTTGGAATGCACGGTGGAAAGTCAACAAAGCAGGCTGCATAATTCTGAAATACTGAGCATGGAGAAAATGCACACAATCACCCTACCTATAGGTCCTTCGCTGGTGTAAATCTAGAAAGTTACAAGATTTACAGACTTACTACAATCTACAAATTGAGATATTTTTCTTTCTTGGCCAAAATAGTACCATCTGCGCACAAACATCACACATTTTAAGTTATAAAATCAAACCAGAAAAAGAGCAATGCCCTATTCTCACTGTATCATGTGATGCAGAGATCATACAAGAGAGTTTGCTTTAATTAACGTTAATGTGTTGTTGGGAGGATCTAATAAGCGCTACTCATGAGTGTCATGAAATTTTTTAAAAATGCTGTTGTTTGCAATATTGAGGCCCCCCAATTTTAATACCATGAGGCCCAATTTAATAGTTGCAGTTCATATAGTGTAGAACTTGACTTGTTCAGTGAAAACAATTATTTCCACTATTATATAAACCTTTTAGGTTTCTTTGCCTGCTGGAAACTGCTAAGCGAGAGGGCAGATCACGTACTCCTCACTCTTTATGAGCTGTACGAGATCAACTTCAATCTTTTCCCATCTTGCTCCCTCTTTGCAACAGAAGCCCCTCTGCTTCCAGTTGAAATCGGGGTAGCCATCGTGCGGTTAAATCAGAGCATTGGGCTCCACTCACAGATGAATATTACTACTAATAATAATTCTTGCATTTGATATAGCGCCTTATCATGTCTTCGAGACGTCTGTGTTTCACAGAATATACTATAAAGTGAATTGACTATATTTTGTGTGCGAAACGCTGGCCAATTGGTTGAGATACTGCATTGGCTACTGGTGCCTATGGAACCCCACTCCCAGCAAGTCAGCTTGTTCAGCAAGCGAAAGGAATTAAGACAAAGTAAAAATTAATAAAGTGAAATGGTGGAGAAAAATATCTCCACCACTTACTCACAGTACTGTGGCATTTTACGCCAGAAAATGCTTTATAGTACAGGTTTGGGACATAAATACTGCCTTGTCCAGTGCAAAGTTGCTACCCAAGCAGAATGTCTTCCAAGATTCTTGGATTTCTACCAGAAAGGCAGATATAGGAATGCTTCCCAAACTCTTACGTCTTACGGGATTTCACGGTCACCTACAAAATGCTGGCAACTGCTGAAATTCCAACATGACATCTGTGGAAATGTATGCTCTGCGTAGCATCTTGTGGAGCACACAGTGAGCAATCAGTTAAAAAAAAAACTTGGCAGCATTGGACAATTCCCAAAGACTGCAGGAGGATGTGGAACAAATTAAATATGGTGACCACATGCCTCAAGAACAAGGGAGAGTGACCGAAGGCAGAAAAACAATAAAGCGACTCAAAGAAAGAGGTGAAGGCAAAAAGAAAGTTGGAAGGGAAATTGAACCAAAGAAAGATTGGTAGTGAAGAAAGAGAATAAGAAAAAAAAATTAAAAAGTCACTAACAGTAAACAACAATATTACTAGAATTAAGAGTTTTTCTGACACATGCTTGTGTAAGAATGAACTTGGAAAGGTTTTTGTTTCTATCCAGTACTTTTCTAGGTGTGTTCACACTCTTGTTTATACAGGCACAAGTATGGAGGAGAGCCAACCAAAACATACCAGGAAAATAAGGGAGGGAAGAAAGTGTGGCAGCCAAGAAAAGTCCGCTCCTGATGTGGGAACATAGCCAGTATATCCAGGTGGCAGTGGAACTGCGGGGTGATCCGTCTTTAAATTAAGTCACATCTGACAATATTATGTCAGGCATCACACTGTGCAAAAGAGCATTATACCACAGATATTTGCAGAAAGCAGAAAGAAGGAAACACTATTGCTTTAAGTTGTATTTACAGGGTTTAAGGAAACAAGGTGATAAAGAGGGGCCACAAATAATAACTGTTGCGTTCTGGTTCGGTTAACATGGTTGAATGTACAGTATCTATAACACATTGTGAACTGTTCATGCATTTTACTCCTTATTTCATTATATCTGGGATATCAGCAGCACTGGTACCATCAAGGAGGGAGTGCTTTTTTATTAGCGTCCACAGAGGTGCTAACATGACTTTCAGTGCCATTACAAATATCATCATCTCTTTTTCGCTTATGCTTCAATGGGGTTTCTCCATCACATAATTTCCCCTCAGGGACTCCGAGAGATCTCAAGCAGACAATGGCAGTAGACTGTTCCACCACCTTCTTTGTTTTATCCCTAAGAGAATAGAAAGAAAAAAAATGTATGTAATCGTGCAAAATGAGTCTGATTAAACTAACGCAAGCTAAGATATAGGGAAGCGCCCACAGCTAGAACAATTGTGTAACACCTTTGTTTCATTTGTTAGATGTATAGTGCCAATGTTTTTTTTCCACACAATAAAGTATTTTGACACAAAGTGCACCATTATATCAGTATCTTGCCAAAGTAGTGATCCATGCTGGATCATACGCATATGAAAGGCAGTTGAGGACAAGATCAGGCTTGGCTGTGACATCCATTTAGTTTGAATAGACAATTGACATACACAGCTTCTACTCAATAATAACATAATCCTTACATTTGATACAGCACCTTATCACGTCATTGAGATGTCTCAAAGCACTTCACAGGATGAACTGTGGATTTTGTAGGTGAAAGATTTTGAGTTTCAAGTATTCAATGAAGAAATGTGGAGGAAAGTGCCATTTGGACAAGGGATTGCCAACTGTGATATCACTATGCTCTGAAAGTAAGTCTTTCAGTTAATAGTTATTAAAATGGACTGTGAAAGTGTGAAGCTTTTAGTACTTAGTGGACTTCTGTACACCCAGAAACAGGGCAAACTTCAAAGCTCAGTGAACAAGTTTTTTTCTTTGAGCACAATTTCATGTTAATGATTTGCTTGATGTTAAACATTTATGTTTATAAGGCGATCCATAATTTCTTTCCTGTGGGTGTAATGCAAATACAACAACAACAACAACAAGATTCCATTTATAGAGCGCCTTTCACGTCAGGAGGACGTCCCAAGGCGCTGCACAGTTGGGTCATGACCCGAGCAGGGGGGAAATGGTCAGGGTGAGGGGAGGGAAGGGAGGGAGAGAGGAGAAATGGTCAGGGTGAGGGGAGGGAAGGGAGGGAGCGAGGAGGAGGAAGAGAGTCGAGAGGGGAGCTGAAGGCACGGTCAAAGAGAAAGGTTTTGAGACCGGCCTTGAAGGAGGAAAGGGAGGAAGCAAGGCGAAGGCACTGGGGATGGAGTTCCAGAGCCTCGGGGCTGAGAGGCTGAAGGCCCGACCACCGATAGTAGGGCGGTTGGGGCGGGGGACGTGGAGCAGACCGGAGCCAGAGGAACGGAGGGTACGGGCAGGTAGGTAGGGGGATAGTAGGTTGGAGAGGTAGGAGGGAGCAAGGCCGTGAATGGCCTTGTAGGTGAGGATGAGGATCTTGAAATCAATCCTCTGGGGGATGGGGAGCCAGTGGAGGCGAGCGAGGGTGGGAGTGATGTGGTCCCGAAGCCTGGTGCGGGACAGTACACGAGCTGCAGAGTTCTGAATGACCTGCAGCTTGTGGAGGGAGGAGCCGGGAAGGCCGGCGAGGAGAGAGTTCCCATAGTCCAGCCTTGAGGTGACAAAGGCGTGAACCAGGGTTTCAGCAGCGTGAGGGGTGAGGTAGTGCCGTAATCTGGCGATATTCCGGAGGTGATGGAAGGCGGTGCCAGTTGTGGTGCGGATGTGAGGGAGAAAGGACAGCTCAGGGTCGAACAAAACGCCGAGGTTCCTGACTGGCTTTGAGAGGTGGAGAGTGCAGCCTTGGATGCTGATGGTGTCAGCGCCTGAGGTGCGGAGGCGCTGACGTGAGCCAATCAGGAGGGCCTCAGTTTTGCGCACGTTGAGCTGAAGAAAGTTGTCTCTCGTCCAGAGTCACCCTGTATGTTTCACCAGGAGAGGGAGGCAGACAGAGGTGCCGTGCCGATAGTAGTCCACAGTGCGTCAGGACATCCTTCTGACGTGAAAGGCACAATGTCAGTGTAATTTGTTGTTGTAGTGAACTCAGATCAGTTATTAAGGTGATCTTTTGCTAACTAGGGAATTTGCCAGAACAGGCTGATTCAAACCCTGGACTCAATAAAACACCCAGAAAATAAAACAATTTAATTTACATCACTTCTCCTCAATTCTTTCGAGTCTGCACTCTACATCAGACATCATTGCTCAGCTATGATACTAAGTGAGTAAGCTGCTCACAGGCCTTGTCCAATAACTGTAAATGAGTACGGCGTACAACGGAATTGTGCAAAAAGCAGCTCGAGGTGATTCATCAACTTCTCTTTCCTGCCCGTGGGGAAGAACCTGGCCCCTGTTTGTTGCTGCCTCCTCCAATGGCTCGGCCAAAATCAGGAATTAGCTGTGTGACAAAACAGCACGCCAAGCTGTGTTGTTCCACTCTGTGACACATCGTGTTGTTACACCAATCCGCTGGGCTGCCTGGCAACCTTTTGAAGACTAATTTTCAAACCGAATTATTGTGTTTGGTTGGATACATATGTTGGATATACCAGCAGTTCGTGGTGAGAATCTTAATTTGGATTCAAAGCCACTGCTATCCCTACCCCCCAAAAGTTTTAATACATTGAAAATCACTTCATGTTTAGAAATTGGAGCTTCAGATTTTGCCAATTTTTTTGAAAGACAAAAGATGAGTGAGCATCAGAGTATATATGCTTTTTACTGATTTGCATTGGTAACATCCATTTCACAGCAATCCATATTCCTGTCCCTTAGTGGAGTCCTGTAGCTTAGTGGTTAGAGCACTCATCTTGCAAGCAAGACGACCTGGGTTCGATTCCTGGGCAGGGCAAAACGCCTGTTTATCTCACAGTAAGTAGGAACCTAGTTGTTAGTCAATTGGCCGATCGCTTTTTCCGGGGTAATGATCCCTTCAAAAAAATTATCAAAAAATAATAATTTGGTTACTCAATCCACGACTGTTTGTGGGATACTGCTGTGCGCAATTGGCTGCAAGGATTATTATTATTATATTCTGCCTCTCAGAAGAGGTAGCTATTAATGTAACTTAAAAAAAAAGCAAGCTGGATGCATGCATCGGGGGAGCTCTCTGGCTTGTTACATCCTGAGTCCACTCAGTGTGATTTTGATGAGAGGTGACGATGCTTTTATTTTGATCCTTGAGTCAGCAGGTGAGGCAGGATTTATTCCTCCACACAGAACAAATGACAGCCCTCTGCTGTCCAACTATAGGAGCTGCTGTTTCAAAACAGCACCCCCAAAATTTTGTAATTTGCTCTTCCAAACTGCTAGCGAGAGATTTTGTTAAAAATTAGGTAAGGGAGGCAGAAATTGGGAAATTTCCTGTCTTTTCTGCAATGCCTACTTCTGCATTAACTGGTCTGATACTTACAGCTGAGAAACTGAGCATCAGGTTTCCTCCAAGCTGCTGTCAATCTCCCAGACCCAACCTCTAATAATGACCTTAACTGTAAAATTAACATGAGATTTTTCTGTCCAGTTTAACATGAGGTAGAAACCAAAGATTTCAACCCAAAACTGTCCATCGGGTTCAATTTACCCAGAAGACAATTCTCCCCATCACTTACCAACAGGAAGACGTGTACTTTTTATCTGCTACAGTCACAACTGAATTAAATAATCTGTCTGAAGGCCTTTGTACCTAAGAAAAAACAAAAACATCACTTGAATATTAAAAAAATATTAATAATAACAATAATCCTATTATTTGATGGTATTGTAAAGTGGAGTGACTGGATGTTTTGTGGGCGAACGCACCATGCTATTGGCAATATTATTAAAATGATTCTCTCCCCGTCCCATTTTAAGATTAAATTTTATAACAAAAATGAATTGGGTGAACTTTTATTTCTGAATATATGTTCTATGCTCTGCTGGATTTAAAAATGGGCCAAATTAGATATACCATATAACTGTCCAGTACCTTGTGTCGTCCTCCCGACATGAAAGGCGCTATACAAATTTAATCTTGTATTGTATTATATAAAGTTAAAGCCATCATTGATTGTTACTGTGAAGGCCTGTAGCTCAGTGGTTAGAGCACTCGCCTTGCAAGCGAGAGACCTGGATTCGATTCCCGGCCAGGCAAAATGTTGGGAGTAAGTTTCCTTACTCCACACGCCTGTTTACCTAGCAGTAAGTAGGGACCCGGTGGTTAGTCGATTGGTGGATCGCTTTTCTGGGGGTAATAATTCCTTCAAAAACAAAATAGTAATGATAAATTGGTCACTTCAATCCATGACTGTTTGTGGGATACTGCTGTGCGCAATTGGCTGCTGTGTTTCGCCCACAAAGTATAGTCAATTCACTTTACAGTATAATCTGTGAAGTGCTTTGAGACGTCTTGAAGACGTGATAAGGCGTGATATCTAATGTAAGGATTATTATTATCTATAACATTCTAGTGCTTGTGCTTCTAAGGTACTGTAAGGGTTTTAAGTTTTGCGTGGTTCAGGGCAGGGCTACATAGGATTACTATGGATCTGGCTGTTTTTCCTGGAGACATCTTCTCAAAAGCCTATTAATCTCTGGGAGACACTGATTACCTCCTCCTGGAGTTTTTTTTTAAACCAAAACGATTTTAGATATAATCCAACTGGTTTAGTGCATTTTTTGTTCATGAAAGAAATGAGAAAATAAATTAGTCTAAACTCACCGTCTCGTACACAGGCTGAGGAAGCTTCTGTTTGCGACACCATTCAATTAAAATCATTTTGGGTGTGATTTGAGGTGGATAGTCACGCCTAGAGTTTAGAGAAAACAACACAGGTTGGATCAAGCTTAGAGTATAGAGAAAACAACACAGGTTGGATCAAGCTTCCACATCAGAAATAATCGTTGATGTAATTTTCATGCATCACTTCTAAGATTTGTGAATTTAGAGGCAAAGTCATGATCAGACAGATTGATCATAAGGACATTTGTTTTAAAGCAAGGCAAAGTGGGTTGGGAAGTAAATTCTAGTGGACTCTGAAGGCTCACCATCTAATGGCGAAGAATGAATGAGAGAGGGCAGCCTGTGGAAATTTACACAAGTAGGCATCTCCAGATCATGGAGGGCATTGATCCACAAAAGAACAGAGAATCAGTGGGGCTTGGCAAGAGCTGTCTTCATGCATTAAGTGCTATTTCACACCGAACAGAGATGCACAGCATACATAGGGCACTGGAAGCAAATAAGCCAATTTTCAAGATACAAAAATTGATATCACTTTACAATATGGCTAATGCATTTCAATCTTACTTGTTAAATCTGATTGCCATTTGCACAACATCTTCAGATCCATTATCTCCAGTTTGTTCTGTTGTCTCTTGAGTTTCCTCCTTCAGCATGGCCCGCTTTGTGTCCTGGCAGTCGATGACTTCTTGATAATATTCAGCCATTTCAAAAATCTCACTGTGTATTAATAAGAATGCAGCCGTTGGTTCAGTTATTAAATATTCTCCAGTGTTGGTCATGAAACCCACTATATTTTATTAGGATATGTAAAACCAATAAATCTACATTTTACTGGATATATAATACTGACAAACCCATCATATTTTACTGGTATACACTGCAGTGTCAACAACAACAAGATTACATTTGTATAGCGCCTTTCACGTCGGGAGGACGTCCCAAGGTGCTGGACAGAGTGCAGCATTTCAGACCCAAGCTGGGGTCATGGGGGGAGAAGGGAGGTGACCGATGGCATGGTCGAAAAGGAGGATCTTGAGGAGGGGGCGAGGCGGAGTGACTGTGGGATGGAATTCCAGAGGTTGGGGGCAGTGGCTGAAGGTTCTCCTGCCAATGGTAGGGCAGTGGTCAAAAGTTCAATGCATGTTAAAATCTAATAAACGTAACTTGTATTTATATATATATAGAAATGACAGCTTTTTTAATGGGGCTTTTCTGATGTACTCCCCATGCTAGTGAGGGCTTTTCCCAGGCCACACATCTATTCAGTGTTAAACAGCCTGAAGCTGGATTCGGATTTTTGAAAAATGTAAGAATCTTTGTCTTGCGCCCCACACAAATGACAACTTGTTTTAAATTGATTTTTTTTCAGCATGTAGTGGGCAGTCAGGATACAGCCAACAATTGAAAGAAACAAAAGTTATTGCAGCAAGCCGCCTTTTCTGGAACTGCATGTTAAACAATGCATTTTTCTTAATTCTCTGCTGCTTTTAATACACAAATTTATGGTAGAGAGACCTAGGTTACTTTTTTTTTAAAAAAAACACAGGCATAATATTTATTCTGGAGAACTTAAATGTTGTTGTTTGTTGTGTAGAACAGCTTGTAACATTTGTTATGAACAGGATGAGCACAATATAAAAGAGCATTACCTGCAATCGTTATATGCAAATGATAAAAAAAATGGTAAAAAACCAAATAGGTTTCTGCTCTCCTCAAATAAGATTAATTCGATAAAACACAATGAAGAGTGACAGAAACAAACCAACATAGAATAAATGGATAATTAGGACCACTTTGTCAATCTGAACTGTGGCAAGAGGTATACGGTTCCAACTTGTAATTTTACATCTGTGCCACTAGGCAGCAATGTTCACGTAATATAGAAAACTGGCTGCTACCAATGCCACAAATTCTCCAAAGCATGGTATTCACTCCAGATTCTGAATCGGTCATTGCTTTGTGCCTAATCCCCATCAAGTCAATGCAGATAAATATGCTTTTATTATGTTTTTTTAAAAAAAAACATTTTATGTCATTCTGGGCTACGACTATCGTTTCACGCAGTTTCAATACAGATTTTCTGTCCATTTGCTTTTTTTAAAAAAAGAAAATCAATTCACGACAATAGGAAGTTCACGACAACCCTACATAGAAATCCCCATTTTTGAAAGCCTCTGGAACTGATGTGAAAGGAATGGGAGCACTGATCAAAATAGCTCAGAGCTTGCTGTACAGAGGAGGACTGCTGAAAACGTTGATAAACAAAGTTCAGCAATAACAGAGTGCATCTTAGGATATGTTGGAGGCGTGAGATGAGAAAGAGATGACCCACATCCTATATATGGGATGTTTATGTGGTTTGCTTTTCTCTTCCCACATTGAACATAAAATTATACCACTCTTCCTGATGGCTCTTTGAATTATAACTTCACTCCCTACTGAAGCACTCGAGATTTGCTTAGGTTAGGGAAGATTTAGAAGATGCTTTATTGGCTCAATGTGTAATGGTGCTATATTGAAAAAAATAAAATGCTTAAACAACCCATATAAAACAATGTGAGACACAGACAAACCACACAGGCCCGTGGTGCCATATTCTGAAGATGTTGAAAGGAGATACTGTATTTCAGGGTAACTTTCAAGAATTAATGGAAGAAAACACATTTCAAGGAGAAAAGGGGAGATCTGTGACAGAATACAACAGAGAGAGTTTGCATTTCTATAGCGGATTATCGCATCAAAAATTCTCCCTGAATTTTACAGCAATTAATGTCAAATATAGTACTATTTTTGTAGACGAATGTGTGGCTAGTTTACACCCAGTAAGGTCGCACAAATAATCACAAGGTGAGTGACCAATTTATCTGGATGAATGTTGGCAATCTTTAATGCCCACCTGAAGACCAAGCAGATGGGGACCGTGGTTTAGTGTCATTTTTAGATTAAGATGGTGAGAGGAGGTACGTGTAGAAGGGGTTCTCTTTGTGCACGCAAGACCTTATTCTGCTTAATGGAAAAAAGAACTATGGCGAGCACAACAAACACTGTAACTAGGTCTACAAGTGCTAATAAAACAATCAAATTAAGACAATTCAGATTTCTTGGCAGTGCAAGCAGCAGTAAAATACAGGAGACATTTACAGCAGGGCCACTTGTGCTCCACAAGGACTTTCACTGACGCAATTATTAAAATAACAAAGGGTAAGATAAACAAAGCAAAATTATATAGAAACGCTTTGTTTTTTATTGTGCAGATGTAGATTTTTATCTTTGTATGGTGCTAGTGGAAGCCTTTTTTGAGAGGTTTTTCAGAAAAAGTGAGCATTCTTTTGATCTCAAGAGGTTTGCAGCTTGCTTATTTTGTTGTTGTGTTGGTTGAAATGTATTCTTTCCCTGTGATGATTAGCCTAAGGTCTTCTAGGACAACTTATGTGCACTTTTACTGGAACATGTCAGCAAATATCTGTCACTCACTGGACTCTGCCACTGTGCAACAGTGAGCAAAAAAGGAAAGTTTTACAAGCATTCAAGGTGAAGCATTTTCTCCTGGAAGTGTAAAGTAAAAGGATGAAACTTACCAGATCTCCAAATTTGACTGTGCACCGTGTAACCTTTTCCCTCGTGGGCTTTCCAACCGCTCTCTCAGCATTTGACATACACAGTACTTGGTGTTTGAGCAGTGACTGTCGTATCTAATAGCCTAGTAAACAAAACAATGACAGAAGACAAGATAAAATAATGCAATTAAACCACAACAGAACAAATCAAAGTGCTGCCAAAACCGCATCTCAAAGTGATCACTTTGGGAATCTAAATTATATAGAGCAAAGACCATAAAAGCACAGCACAAGCACAGCCTGAAGAATATACCAAATTGATATTGGGAATTTTTCCAAACGATAATGTACGAAAACTATCAATATATATATATTTTCACTTAACTGGACTCAATGGTGCTAGAGTTCTGCAAAATGTATATTTCCTATCTTCATTTATTGGATTCTAAAGTATTAAAGGTCAATTCTATCAAACTGAGTCAACTATATTAAATTGTTTGCAAAGCCGATCAACAAATATACAGTACCAACAATTGCATTTATATAGCACTCATACGGTAACGTCTTGCACCTCTGTACAAAGATCGGGTCAGAACAAGGGAGACGGAGTCATTGGTGCGGTCGAAGAGGTAAGTTTTAAGGAGGGATAAAGTTGGAGCTTATGGATGGTGGAGCTAGGGAGACCAGGAAAAAGGGCACTTGAAGAATCTGAGTGGGAAATAATGATGGCATGAATAAGGGTTTCATTGACATTTGACGTGAGGTAGGGGCAGAGGCTGGCAGACGTAAAGGAAAGCGTCTTGGTCAGGACCGGGCGTGTGGGAAAAAGGAAAGCTGTGGATTGAACCAGAGTTGGTAAGTCGTTGGCAACTTCTTCACTGCACTTCACAGGACTTTGTGAAGCGCTTTGGGTACATTCTCAACATGATCGGTGATAAAGGATGACTATTATAATTTAAAAACTACTCACATATTTGATATATTCTTTTAAAACGTCCTCTATTGGTAACAGTCCTTCCTTCCTGAAGATGGAAGGATTCCACATTGCTGCTCGAGCCACCATCACTGAGGAAGCATTGGTTGTCTGACGAAATTTCTCAAGATCATTGAATTCTCTGATATGATCCTGAGATCCTCCACTGAGAGAAATATTAAAGATGTTAAAAGATTGGCAGGCAAATTCTGATCATCATGACCAGAGCCTCCCTCTATTGCTACATTTTGGTCTACTGTTATTATCGACCTCTGTGTTTGTGCATCAAACAAGACATCTATTTGTGTCCTCAAGAGATGTGCCTCCCAAATTGCCCCCCATCTTTGTTGTCCAACTCCCAGGCCACGATGTCCATTAATTCTACTGTGTGAAACTCCACTTGAAATTTATAGAATACAACCTTGACAGAATCAGATATGGAGATTCAAAACTCAAGAGTTAGGTGAAAATTGCAAAATGATTTATATTGTAGTGTGGGCTCCAACTTCCTTTTGAGATGCTGCTGGATTGTGAATCAATTTAAGATACCCGATCTGAGTTTCAAACGAGGATTAAACTATTGTTTCTGTCAAGAAGGTTGTAAGTGCAGTGTTATGGGGATCCTCAGCTATTAGTTTACACAGGATGAGTTGTATGATTATACAAGGTAATTTAATCAATGAATATTGGTTGCTGGGAATTTCTCCTAGACAAGTTTTAAATTTTACAATGGAATAAACCAAAGAATTGTCTCTATGTCACATTAATAAGGATATACCTTGTGATAAAGGATTTAAAATCACTCGTGGTCACCCTTTGTTTCTCATTCAATTACTATGTATGATGAATTCCAGAATAACCCAGTGCTGCACATTTCATATCTGATCAAAGCACAGTGACTTACTTGACGTAAGTGAATTTACAGAATGATTTACCTACTTTGCGATTACAGGAATGGAAACTGATTCAGCGATTGCTTTAATTACATCATGGTGAACAGGATGCTGTGGCCTTTCCTCTTTTCTCCTGTGAAAAAAATATCAACCCAATCAGCTGCAGTTACAGAATAAAATAAATGTGCAACTTCATACTTCCTTGCAGAGACCTAATGTAGTTTCGATTTCTCTACAAAGATTCCATTAAGTTTTGAAATCCATTGAGGCACCAAATACAAATTCTACTTTCTACCTGCGTTTCAACAAGAAGATTTCATTTATAGAGCGCCTTTCACGTCGGGAGTACGTCCCAAGGTGCTGGACAGTTGGGTCGCCACCCGAGCAGGGGGAAATGGTCAGGGTGAGGGGAGAGAAGGGAGGGAGCGAGGAGAGGGGAAATGGTCAGGGTGAGGGGAGGGAAGGGAGGGAGCGAGGAGGGGGTAGAGAGTCGAGAGGGGAGCTGAAGGCACGGTCGAAGAGAAAGGTCTTGAGACCGGCCTTGAAGGAGGAAAGGGAGGAAGTGGCGAAGGCACTGGGGGATGGAGTTCCAGAGCCTAGGGGCTGAGAGGCTGAAGGCCCGGCCACCGATGGTAGGGCGGTTAGGGCGGGGGATGTGGAGCAGACCGGAGCCAGAGGAACGGAGGGTACGGGTAGGTAGGTAGGGGAATAGTAGGTCGGAGAGGTAGGAGGGAGCAAAGCCGTGAATGGCCTTGTAGGTGAGGATGAGGATCTTGAATTCGATCCTCTGGGGGATGGGGAGCCAGTGGAGGCGAGCGAGGGTGGGAGTGATGTGGTCGTGAAGCCTGGTGCGGGACAGTAGACGAGCTGCAGAGTTCTGAAAGCTCTCAGGAAGCTCTTTCCATAGGCAGATCTGAAAAAAGTTTAAATTCGATCTTAAGAGCAAAAAAGCTGACAGAAGGAGCGGTAATTGTTCAATGCTGGGTAACACTGGAGAAATTAACATACTTTAGTACTGTAATGATCTGACTGCTGCAAGAGCACAATAGCTGCAATGGCCATATTACCATTTTATACCAGCAGAATAGACAAATTGTCCACTGAATAGAAAATCCAGGTTTGAAATTTAAAAAAAAACAATGCTTGCTTTTAATTCAGTAACTTCAAAAAATAAATATATTACTTTCTCCGGCAATAACAAAGTCTCATTAGCTACTCCTTCCTAGATTTCAAAAGATATAGTCTGCACCTTCCCAAACATTGTTGACTTACCGACATTACAGCAGAACGGATCACTTCAAGATCCTCACACTCATAAATCACTTCATGCTCTGACACCTCCCTACCTCTCTGATCTGTCAAATTCCACTCCTCTTCTCGCCCCCTTCACTCAGCTGGTTCCAGCCTCCTGTACATCCATCATCACTAGACCATGATTCTGGAACTATGTCTCAATGCCTGCATTCCTTGTCTGCCTTCAGATCATACCTGAAGACCCTCCTCTTCGACTGTACCTACAGTCACCGCCCCTCTCTCCTTGGCTTAGCGTCAAGCTTCACCACTGTGAAGCACTCTGAAATGCTACCCAGCATAAAGGGCGCTATATAAATGCAAGTTTTTGTTACCAATGCAACATGCTGAGGATGTTCCAATTCTATCATTACCTTCCATGCACTGCAACAGCTGCAACTCCTGTTCTTTGAATACGTTGCACAAGGTCTATAGTTTCTTCCAGCTGTAATTAAAAGCAGTGGTACACATTACTCTCAAACTAATATATGTTCATTTCAATATTTTAACTGAATAAGGTTTGAGACTGGCATGAAACAAATGTTCTTATTTCCATTTTATTGCTCAAATTAGTGCCGAAATGTGTTAAAGAATGATCCTCACCCTTCTGAAAGCCCAACCATTTTGGTATTGAACCACATAGATCAAGGAAGTCCCAGGATTGATTCCTGGTCTATACTGATTTGCTGTTCTTAACCTGGGATGCAGCAGGAGTGCACTACAATTGCTTGGGAGTCAGGAGAGAGAAACAAAGGTATGTCTGCCGCATCTAAGTCGAATAGCCTGCCAAAACTCACCATCTAGGCTCAAACATCATGAATTGCGACTTGAGTGAGGTATCAAGAGGGTTGCACCAGCAGGATACTGCCCTCGAGAAAAAGAGAGGAGAAAATGGGGCCCGGGAGGAGAGGAAAACGTGGTAAAGAATTTTTTAAAAAAACATCCTTTCACTTTTCCTGCTGATTATGGTTATTTCTAAATACAACATGTTACCACAATGTCTTCAACAAATGGTTAAATCAAACACTTACCGATGGCAAGATACGGATTTTGCAGGTCACTGGCTTGGAGACTCCACTGACAAGGGTAGAGAGGATCTAATACAGTAACAAAGATAGTGAATCAAAATCTGCCCACTCACTGTTATTGCAGCAACGCTATCAAATGCAGCTCAGTGAGGCCTAGTATTTATTTATTTATTTATTTATTTATTTTATTACAAGATAGGAAAGAGTATCTTCCCTTTTGATTGAGCTATGACAAGACATACAGCTGAGATCACTTTGTTCCAGGAAATACGCACGATCAAGTTAACCTCTATGCCTGTTTTAGAGTTTGCAACAAAGTGAATCTCACACGACTGAAAATTCTATCCCCTCAAAATAATAATAATCCCTGCATTTGATATAGTGCCTTATCACGTCTTTGAGACGCCTCAAAGCATTTCACAGAATATACTGTAAAGTGAATTGACTGTATATTTTGTGGGCAAAACACAACAAAACATTCACAAGCCCAAGTTTCGCAAGCCTGGACGTTTCAGCACATCAAACCTGTTCTATCAATTCACTAGATCGTACATAATAATCATAATCCTTGCATAGCGTCTCATCACGTCTTCGAGACGTCTCAAAGCACTTCAGGGAATCTACTGTAAAATAAATTGAGTGTATATTTTGTGGTGAAACGCGACAGCCAATTGTTCACAGCAGTGTCCCATAAATAGTAGTGGATTGAGTGACCAATTTATTTATTTATTTTGGAAGGCATTATTACCTTAAAATAAAAGGAATTGTTTATCACAATGCCCTGCTCTTTTGCCACACTGATACTGTCCAAGTACCTGTCTTGTTTCAACATTCCTATTGATTCCGCCTCTACAGATTTCTGGGGTAGAGCAATCAACATCTTCACAACACTGTGTGTGAAGAAATACAACAACAACAAAATTACATTTATAGAGCGCCTTTCACGTCGGGAGGACGTCCCAAGGCGCTGGACAGTCACGGGTCAGCACTCGAGCATGAGGGAGGGATGGTGTAGGGATGAGGGAAGGCAGAGAGGTGGGAGGGAGACAAAAGTCACGGTCGAAGAGGAGGGTCTTGAAACCGGCCTTGAAGGAGGCAAGGGAGGAAGCGAGGCGAAGGGACTGTAGGATGGACCATGTTCCAGAGTGTGGGGGCATTTTTAAAAAAAAGGTCCCCAAGAGGATAAATGCTTTCTGTGAGTTTTTTTTAAAAAAAATAAAAATTGCTATTCCTTTCAAATGAAGTGTGCATGATACATAACTTTTTCATTTTTATTAAAGTTATTGTATTTACTAAAAACTAAATGTTGCTATTTGGGTGACAAATATCTTGCAACAACGATCAAAATCTGCTCAGGATTATTCTTCAAAATATATATTTTTTTAAAAATCAAAGCAAATTATAATTAAAAAATGCCCCTGGCACTTGACACAGTGCCTATAACATTGAGATGTTTGAAAGGGCTTCTCAAGTATTTGCTGTCAAGTGTGTATTTGTACACAAACACTTTTGTGGCTATCTCGTTTCCTCGCATCTGTGCTGCAGTTGTTATGCCATCTTCTGCTTCTTTCCATAGACTCTGGCGCTCCCTAGTGTCCTATTTTTTCTCCACTTTCTTCATTTCCACTTCTCATCCACGTTCGATTATGATTTCACTCCACATTAATCAATTTCACAAGCTTCATAACTCTCCCAGTACAGTGAATGTAGCACTGAACCTTGTCCCTACCCGTGACCTTCTACGCTTGTTCTTCAAAGCCAATTTCTTTAAGTCTTTTTAAAAGATAATCAGTTATGTCTCCTGCAAATCTTGCTTTGAACACAGGTGATGTTTGGTAGTAGTTGGGAAAACAAATCGAACTGATGACACCTGCATGGATTTTGGATGCCTATTGATGGGTCATAGGCTTTTCCCCGCAAAGAGGGTACACTGTAGTTACATAGGAGCATGCAGCTAGTCCAATATATATATAAAATAATGCTGTCAACGTATCTCATTACAAAGGTTAAATGTACACGGTTAATTACTAGATTGTCTACAACAAATACAATCACTGGACTTTTGCCCACAAATATACGGGCAATTCACTTTACAGCATATTCTGTGAAGCACTTTGAAACGTCTAGAAGATGTGAAAAGCGCTGTATCAAATGCAAGGATTATTATTATTATTTTATCATTACTTTATAGATGTCCTCCCTATATGAAAACTTCTACATCAAATGTAAATATTATTCTTATTAATAAGATAGCGAGTTTAGTTATAGGCACATTATTTTATATATAATATAAAGTAACCTTATCACTACAATGACTGAACAGTTTTTCTTTTCAATTCATCTATCAAAATAATTCCTTCATTCTGGCGGCTGGTGCACAAAAGATACAGTATTGAAGGAAGAAAACAGGATGATGTGATTGATTATCCTGCAGTAGATGAGGAAAGCTACTTGTGCAGCTTTTATTAACACCAGAACTTGCTAGAGACTTGTCAAATATGGATTTATAAGCGTGCTGGGTGCCAGACATGTAATTATAGCTTCATCTTATGAAACAATTGATGCAGTTTCATATGGATTTAGTATTGTGAGATGTACCCACTAGCTTAACCCTCCCCCATGATAAACCACTTTACTCTGACCCACAGAAAACATGTATCTTCATTAAGAAAATTAATGTGAGCAATCATTTAGCACGCTTTGTAAAAACAAAAGCAGAAAGGTTTGAGGCTTTTGCACATTGTTCATTAAATGTACATCTACCAACATTTGCAATTGCTGCCTTTCAACCCAAGTTCAAATTCAATCCAGAGGAAAAGTGTTCATGTTGACTATTGAGCATTACATTAGAGCATGTTTTATAGCAATCTCAACTCCAAAACTTGAAAGCTGTAGAATAGGTACTAGATTTAATTCTATTATCCACTTTTCAGATGCCATCAACAAACCAGAATCATCTAATCTGGATATTTCATTCTCCCAAACATTGGCTTCAAATTGCAATCATACCACTATGTGGAGTCCTGTAGCTCAGTGGTTAGAGCACTCGCCTCACAAATGAGAGACCTGGGTTCGATTCCCGGCAGGGCAAAATGTTGGGTAAGTTTCCTTACTCCACATGCCCCTATTTACCTAGCAGTAAGTAAGTACTCGGTTGTTAGTCGATTGGCGGATCGCTTTCCCGGGGGTAATAATTCCTTAAAAAAAAGTCACTCAATCCACAACTGTTTGTGGGACACTGCTGTGCGCAATTGGCTGCCATGTTTTGCCCACAAAGTAGTCAATTAACTTTACAGTATATTCTGTGAAGCGCTTTGAGATGTCTCGAAGACGTGATAATGCACTATATCAAAAGCAGATTATTATTATATATATTTATATTATATATATAATAATACAGGACTGTGGAGTCCTGTAGCTCAGTGGTTAGAGCACTCGCTTTGCATGTGAGAGACCTGAGTTCAATTCCAGGCAGAGGGCGAAACCTTGGGCAAGTTTCCTTACTCCACACAGAGCCTAATAATAATCCCTCCAAAACCAAAAACAATAATAAATTGGTCATTTTTAATCTACGACTGTCTGTGGGACATTGCTGTGCACAATTGGCTGCCGTGTTCGCCCACAAATATACAGTCAATTCACTTTACAGTGTATTCTGTGAAGCGCTTTGGGACGTCCTCCCGACGTGAAAAGCGCTATATCAAATGCAAGGATTATTATTATTATTATATCCCTATTACATTTCTCTGCTATTAATAGCCTCACCCATTTTCAATAGAAAGCAAGGCTCAAGCATAATATGACTAATTCTTCATCAGGTGTAGCTCCTCTGAAAACCATTCATTATAATTAACCACTGCTTGTTCAGAAGTATTTTCCTAGTCGTGTATTATAATATTCAATCTAATGATTGGTTCAATGGCAGAGCTGATTGGAATAGTCTCAAGCATGAAGTTGGTGACACAGAAGCAACCCATTCACCCAGTCAGAAAATCTTCACATCAAACAGATCCCACTTTAGGTTTACTTCTGATGCAGTTCCAGTCAAAAAGCTAAAGGTGGGGGCAGATCATCAGTCTCTCTCTGCCTTATACCACGTCTAGTACTCACTTTGTTTATCCTCAACAGTTTCAAGCTCACCACTTTTAATAATGAAAATACAGAAGAAAATAAAAACACCCAGATCTCTTTTCTCTTCGACAATGTGGTCTGTCTTATGCTGATCGGTCAAAATAGTAATCTTTTCATTGTGTCTTTATAATGATGAGATTTCTGTGTTTAGTGATTGGCATAAAACACAGCCAACATAATTGCTTCTTCCAAAAACAATTCAGATAACCATCAGCAGGAGGTGTCTACATTCAAACAATGTGGCTATCAAGTACAATACTTGAGCGCAAAACAGCTGCTGCTGTTTCATGGTAATCTGACACCAGCTGCTTGACAATTTCAACCTAAAGACAAATCATGTCACATACTGTACTGTTGAGATGAGCTTACTGTGCAACCGATCTATAAATCCAAAATGTATTGAAGGTTTTCTCCCATCAAACTCAAATCATTCTCTTCTGGCTAACGTCAGTCTGAGCTAATCTAATAAAAACTATTTTGATTTGCAATTAAAGTTATACTTGGTGATGTCCACTTAGAATAGAATATTCAGCCATCAATAGCGCTGTTAAAATTGACCTTTTATAATGCCAAGTTTGTCTTGTGTTCTAATGTACATAGACTTGGGTAAAAGGGCAGCTGTGCATTCTCCATGTGGTCCGTGTCATTGATTATCACTGGCCTATAACTCGTACAGTATGAAGAAAGGTACCGCGTTCTCTTTTGATATCTCCAACAGTGATCACAGAAAGAGAAATCATATTTTGCAATTTCAAAAATGTAAGAGTAATACATCCAACAATTTGAGGTATATATTGTGGTTCACCCGGGTATGTTCTTCGAGACTAGAGCACAAGTAGGATGGTTGGTGTAAATATTACTGAGTTTCTTCTGGCAGTCAATAATTGTTTGTTTAAAAATATGATGTTTATGTTTAAAAACATAATAAAATCATTGAGTGTTCTGTATGTGGCTGACACAGTGTTCTGTATGTGGCTTCATCATCATACTTGGTGTTTTGGGTAGAACAGATTCGGTGTTTTTTGTTACCAACAGATGGAATGCTTCATAAAGACACTGAATCCATTCATTTCTCTGTACAAGAATAATATCAAAGACAATGTGTAATACAGAGAGACTGAGCTTAACTTGGAATTCATTACCTGGGGGGATGGAAGGGGGAATTTCAGTATTTCCAGAGAACCGACTGGGAGAGCAGTGTTACATCTGTTCTCCAGAAAGACTGTTTTGTCTATAGATTTGGAGAAGAAATAATGAAAATAATGATGGAATACTAGTTTGCTAGGTGGATAAGCTGCCTATCCCCTGACTGCATTATGTAATAATAATAATAATAATAATAATCCTTGCATTTGATATAGCGCTTTTCACGTCAGGAGGACATCCCAAAGCGCTTCACAGAACACACTGTAAAGTGAATTGACTGTATATTTGTGGGCGAACGCGGCAGCCAATTGCGCACAGCAATGTCCCACAAACAGTCGTAGATTGAAAATGACCAATTTAATTATTGTTTTTGTTTTTTTGGAGGGATTATTATTAGGCTCTGTGTGGAGTAAGGAAACTTGCCCAAGGTTTCGCCCTGCCTGGAATTGAACTCCGGTCTCTCACTTGCAAAGCGAGTGCTCTAACCACTGAGCTACAGGACTCCACTTTAAACTTTTTAATGAAACTTAAGGTTTCTTAAAGCCCCCACTAAAACTTTAATGGACTAATATACGATACAAAATTATATTTGTACAGCGCCTTTCACTTCGGGAGGATGCATGAAGCCATCCCAATGGACTAATATACATTCATGCATCATACAACAAGCTGCATTGCCGCAAAAGATCCTTCTTTTTTTGGTGTTGAGAGTCAACAATGATAGCATCAATTACAGTGTCTAGGCAACTAAACCTCAATTAATACACTGCTATTTAACTGTATTGAAGTCACACAGCCCTATATCTTTCTGAGCTAATCCTATGATTTCTATTTCTGATCACTGTGAATTTTATTCCGCAACAATATTTGGAAGGAAAAAAAACCTAAACAGTTTAAGGAACCAGGGCAAGAATGTGGAAAAGTATCTTAATACTGTATATTGATAATTTTCTCCTTAATTTTCAGATCTAATTTTCAAGATTTGTTCTTGCTCAATTTAGGAAAGCTATGAGATGCAGACAATTGCTATTGTTGATTGGGAAGAGACTTTGAGAGTTCCAGTGATCTCAGATTCTTCACATTACTCAGAGAGTCCAAACCATTTTATGAGACAGTGGTTTGAATAAACTTTAACAATTGATTCAATATGGGAAATATCCTTCTGTACATGAACAACTGCAGCCATTATTTCAACAGATACAAATAGCTCTTTCATTACGACACAAGTAGCTTTCCAGAATACAGCAACCGTATGATATACGGCAAATCAAACAAAAAATTGTAGCATTTTAGCTGCTTCAAGGGGCATGGTGGAGAAAGGAATTTCAGGAGAGAATTTCGATATGAAGTATCATATTTTTTCAAAGGTAATAATACAGACTTTCTAGACAAATTGCAGGCAATAGAATACTAGAACAATATGGGGAAAAACATTAACTGAGATTAAAGGAGCAGAAAAGCTGCAGCAAAAGAGGAAGAGAAAATATTAACTGCAATATTACTTTATAAATGATTTTCTTACCACTTCAGTGTGTACAAGCTTCACTGCAACTTGTAAATTTAGGCATCATTTTAAATGTGGCAGCCAATTTGTACACAATGTCCCACAAACAGCTATGAAATGAATGACCAATTCTATCTGGGGGATTGTTGGCCAAGACAAGGAGAACCTCCCTTCCCTTTCTGAATAGCTTTGTGGGATATTTAACATCCACCTGAACAGGCAGATAGGACCTTTGTTTAATGTTCTCATCCGAAGGACGGCTCTACTGGCAATGCAGCACACCCCCAATACTGCACTGGAGTGTCAGCCTGAAATGTGAGTTACAAGTCTCGACATAGGACTTGACTCACAACCTTCTGAATCAGAGACCAGAGCAAATCAAGACTTTACAAACTGAACAAATAAAGAATCTTCTTGTACATTATTGGATAAGGTGTTGCTCCACACCTCGGACAAATGTGGTAAACAAAGACCAGTGAAATTAAAGTCATTTTTCCCGAAAAAGGAAAAGACAAAAACAGTGTTAGTTTCTATCTCATAGCTTTTGGTGATTATAAGTATAAACACATTTCAAAGAGAGCTGTTTTTGAAAATAACTGTGCAAGTAACCACTTTCAGTTAACAAAACGCCCAAATACTGACACAGATTAAATGTTACTTAAAAAATATGCGTTTTGCCCACAAAAATTCACTTTACAGTATATTTTGTGAAGCGCTTTGAGATGTTTTGAAGACATGATAAGCCGCTATATCAAATGCAAGGATTATTATTATTATTACAGTGCCAAGGTGTCAGGGAGCTCTATTTTATTAAAATTGAAGGTTCCTGGAACTGTATGTATGCCCATCATCTCTAACTGTAATCTGGTAATGAGTTTTGAGTTGGCAGAGTAATCGTCTGGAGGAAGATAAAAGCCACGTTGCATGAAAAGATGTGAAGCTGAAAGCATCCTTCGTGTTTTAAAATAGCCAGCCTAGAATAAAATGGATATGTAAGATGGAGAAAAGGTTCAATAAGATTATTCCAATTACTGAGGTCTGTGCTGAAATTGCAGCTTTTTTTCATTGCAACCGAGAGGACACTTCACTTATCTCTCACGCAGCAATAGTAAGAAAAACTCTTAACAGGAACACCCAACCTTTGATTTTCCCAGGTAAAAAGTGGACTTATCATTAGGTAAATGAAGAATCAAATAATGACAAGTTATTCAGTCTATTAATGGTTCTGGATTTGAATTTTCCTTTTTGCTGTTTTTATTATTGAAACAACCCATCCATCAGTTCTATCAAATAATAATTATAATTTGGCTCCTTAATCCACGACTGTTTGTGGGACACTGCTGTACGCAATTGGCTGCCACATTTCACCCACAAAATATACAATCAATTAATTTTACAGTATATTCTGTGAGGCACTTTGAGACGTCTCGAAGACACGATAAGGCACAATATCAAATGCAAGGATTATTTTATTATTATTATCTTGTTACGGCGTTGGAATGATCGATGTAACACTGCATTGTTATAATTTTCAATTGTCTACTTGTCCATTTCAAAGCAATTTGTAAATTCAAAATCAACATACACACCAGTTGCTACAAAGGGCACACATAAATCGTATTTTTTTTAAACGCTTTAACATTACAAATAATGTGTTGTTTTTCTGTTAACTGCTAACGCAATTTTTGCACACCAATTCTGTTAAAGAATGAACCAGTTATTTGTTGTACATTTGGCTCAATTTTGAATTGACTTTTTTGGTCAAATTGCTAGTTTTGTTTGGATCAGTAAGAATTTTTTTAACAAAGGTTGGTAACTTTGTAGAACTACTTACAGTTTCAACTTTATCAGGGTCTGACAAGAGTGCTACTCCCATACCACCCTGAGCAAACACAAAGGAAAAAAACAGAAGATTAATAGAGCCTAACCTACTTAATAGGATGCCTACTTAATACATACTTAATATGCTGGCTCTCTGAAAGAGCAAGCTATTGAGTCCCATTTATTTGCCTTTTCTCTATACCTCTGCAAATGATCAATTTTTTAGTCATTGTGACAGTCGTCCCCTAACCTGCTTAAACAAACACCATGAAAATGTCAGTCATTTTGAATAAGTTAAATACATTTAAAGAAAGTCTAAATTATCTTTTAGCTAAACAGTATACAAATAACTTTAAAACGGAGTGGACATTGGGAGAGAGAAAACAGCAGGGGAATTGAGTATGGGGGTATATTAGCACGGATCAGCAACTGATGTATAGAGCAAACATTTAAGGTTATAATTAACAGATATTGGAATTTTCAACATGAATGCTCATCCTCAATCAATTATATCCCTTGAATCAACTAATCTATTAACCAATTCTACACATAATGTTGTTAATAGACATCATTTTATTCATCCACATTCTGAGCATTTTCATTACAGGTAATGGGAACAAACTTATCAGTTTGTGTTCATTATTGATATCTGTATTGGTTTGAAACACATAACTGATATATTGGAAGTAGTTTTGAAAACATGATTACAATTCAAATTCAACACAAAATTCAAATAATTTTGATACTGACAACAATTTAAAATGGTCATAATCAAATCAGAATTAAACTCTCTGTCGGTAGCTTTCAAAAGCTGTCATCCATCTGAATTTGAAAAATAAAGAGTGACAATTTAATTCCAATGTCATGAACTGTTGTTCTTGCTTGATATTAATAAGGCCCCTGCTCAATTGGAATTCTTTAAGCTAAAAGGTAAAATCTAGGGGCTTTTTAACATACTACTACAGCCTAATTTTGTGGTCCGCTAAATTCCAGAGGATAATGGTAATTTCCTCATCACATTTACTCAGAAGTGCTGCTCTTGGCACTGCATAATTAAGCTGCACAATAATGAGATCGAAAGGTGCTGCATGCAGAACAAATATTAATAACTCAGCTGCTCCAAAATTTTCAACAGGATTTCAAACCTAAAAGACATAACCTCAACAAAAAGTTTCATGTGGCTCTTAACCTCAGCTCTAGACTTCACCTCTTTGTGTCCTTCTGTTTCTAACCTTAATCATTTCATTTTGAGTTCCTTCACTATCATTAAATGTAAAGTGTATTTTATTGCATCAGTGTGCTTTCCAATTGTAAAAGGAGCCTTTGAGCTGCTATTGATCCATAGCAACACTGCCCTGAAGTTGAAAGTATGTTATAACGTGGAAAGGAAGTTTATGTTTGAAAGTGACAAAACATTGATTTTTCACAATGTTAGCAATTCCGCATGGATGAAGGAAGCGATGCTGCCCAATCAGCCATAGTGACTAGACTATTTATCTACCAATGTGGAAACGAAGCTGTCATGAATGGATTTACGGGTGTAGACTGCTATGGGCTGTTTGTTTTAATCTTGCGACAGCATCTAGTGATCTCCGTTTGCCTTGACTCAGTTGATATTTTCTTAAATGTATCCAATATCTCCATTTTACTTCAATCATTCTCAGCATTGTTCCCGCAGGCACAGTGTGTACTGGCCTGAGAAGGCACCTTGGAGAGCTTTCAACATCGCAAACGTGGAGGCAGCTAGCTCAGTACACCGGCTTTCTACAGCTCATTTAATTTCCGGGTAGCTACTTAAAGCCACAGTGAGTTTGACTGAACGTTATATTAAAGTTAACTCGCGTAAGCTAAAATTGAAAATGTCAAAGAAGGAAGACAGGCAAGATCAGGAGAAATTGATAGCTGTATGTATTCTCAATAGAAGCAGAAATCTGTATGGAATGGGATGCAGCAAAGGAAAAACGTGAGTAATTCTCAGCCATTTTAACAGACAGTTAATGTAAACCATAGCCATTCTCTACCAAATTTCAATTAATTATAGATAAAAGTCAAGTGCTATCTTACCTTGGTAGAATATTCCTTAGGGCAGCCCATGTTGACATCAATTCCAGCTACATCATTTTCCCTGTGTACAAAAAAATGGAAATATATTTACTCATAAATTGCACAAAACTAAACTTTAACCCTCCTTAACTCTTACATTGAAAACAGTTAATTTACATAAGAAGAACACTATAAAGTAATACATTCCTTTGTTCCATATTTCCGACTTTACGAGGCAGGCATTTAGCCATAACTAGCTGTTTATCAAGCTGATTGTGATCAGTAAGCCTATTCAAGCACAATTCATCCTGCTGTTTGTGAGTGAAAAAGAAAAAAAACTGACAGGCATTTGCTTTATTAAACATGCACAAAAAAAGTCTCAAGTGCTTAGTGTTGAGTGCTTTTTAAATGCCATTCTACAATTCACCTACCAGGTGATACAAAAAGGTCCAGGCTTTGAGATTCACTTGTCTCCATGGAGAAACACTTCACCTTTAGTCAGCAGTACTCTCCAATGGTTTGCCATTTGCCAATCACAGGGAAATTATTTGGCCGAGCAATTTGGTACAGCTGTATCAATGCACTAATGTGTTACACTAACAGGCAAAAAAAATCACTCTGTTGCCTTAAGACAATTTCACAACTCCTATTTCATTAACGTAACAGTGCTCAAGAATACATAAAGCACCTTCTCCAAGCACAAACACTTCAGTCAAGTGCAATTCTGGCCTTTTCAGAAAAGGGACAATGGGCCATTCTTTAAAAAACAATTAGAACTTCACTCTCTTCACCAATTACAAAATAAGTAATGTGTTTTGCTTGATTTAGTGACATTGTACTCTGCTTCTTTTGGCTAATTCTCCCTGTTATCTGTTTATGAAATTTAAATGGAGGATGAGTGCACTTTAGAGCAAGTTCGTTTTCAGCATATTCACTGGATGTGGAAACATGGAAGACTTACACAAGTTGTGCCACTGCCAAAGCCCTCTGAGCATCGGCCGTGCCCTGAAACATGAAAGAATAACACTGAAAAACTAATAGAGGTTGACAAGTTCCATATAGTCCTTAACAAGCAATCAGAAGTCCTTACTTATTGGAAAAGAAGGTCTAAAATGGGTGAAGAGAGTTTTTTTTGTTCATAGTTCTTCGCCTAGCTATAGAGATAACCTGTCGAAAACTAATCCTTCTTTCTTTAAAATTCACCTCCTGGTAAGGTGCTGTGGGGCTGAGCTGGTTGGGATACTCCAAAACAAGCTCCAAGCCATCGATGTAGCCCTCCAGGATGTGCCTGGCTGTTCCCAGTAACATAAATCACAAGAGAAGTAAAGTAGCTCTCTTACAGGCATCAGGTTTTGAAAGGCAGGTATAATATTTCACATATAATTGTACATTGAGCAATTCCCCCAAAATGTCACAACATGTCATGTTGAGGCTGTGTGCACAATATCTTCAGTTTCCTGAAATCATCTAGAATAGATGAAATGAAAAAAAGTGTACCCCAGGCAATCTGAAAGACAAACCAAATGCTGGAAATACACAGCCGGTTGATCAGCATCTCTGGAGGAAAATACAAAGATATTTCCAGCGTAACCCTTCACCAGAACTGCTTGCTGGACAAGATATCTGTGCTGGACAAACTGATCTGTGATTAACCTTGAAAAGGGCTTTTTGAATATTTGGACATTTGAATATTTCTAAATGAAAACCTTAATGGAACAAAAAGTTTATGTGAAATGTGTTTATTTCTTACCATCTGAAATACGACATGATTCCGTTCTTTTTCGCAGGTCCTAAAAACAACTCGATCATCGGTTGCAACATAATCTATAGTGTTCAGCACCTCTGAGGAATAGAAACAGAGACACTCAGAAAGCTATTAACTACAGATTGTGTCTCCACGCAAGAACCATTTTGAGGAACAAAGATGAAGGAAAAAATAACCAGATTTTAATTATCAATTTATGTCACAAATTTCATCCAGGTCTGTTGGATGCTTTTCCTATGAGGTTGATTTTACGGTAACTATAATGAAGTGACCTTGCATTTGTTATAAAGCCTGATCATGGTGTTGAAGCATCTCAAAGCACTGCATAAGATTCAGTGTAATTGGGGTGACTCCACATCAAACACGGTAATCAATCTCTGCACAGCGATGTCCCACAAACAGCCATAAAGTGAATGACCAATTTTATCTTGGGACTCAAAGCACTGCACTTACAAGGACTTCTGTTTTTGCTTCAGATTTCCAGCATCTGCAGTATTTTGCGTTTTGTTTATCTGGGGACTATTGGACAGGACGCCGGAATGAATTCCCTTCTCTTTTCAAAGTGTGCCACAAGATCTTTAACGTCCACCTAAATAAGCAGAAGGGACTTCTGTTTAATATTTAATTTGAAGGGCGACATCGCAGACAATGCAATGCTTCCCCTGTACTGCACTATTGTGTCAGACTAGACTATGATCTGACTCAGAGGTGAAAGTGCTACCAATTGAGTCAAGCTAACCAAGTTAAAGTTCAGTGCAATTTGTTTTGCAGAAAATGCAAATACATTAATGTAGCCTATGATCCATCTTAGATGGCAGCTGTGTGTTTGGTTCTATTACATTAAATTTCATTCAATTCAATCATCTTTTCCTAAATAATTAACAATCAAAACTTAATTCAGCAGAAAAGGCAAGCCATTAACCATCAGAAGATGAAATACAGAGCTCTCCAACTCACCATTCACCACCCTCTTGCACCTCATCATTTTCAAGTCAATCAATTCCTATTTAAAATAGAGGGGGNAAAAAGGTTCACAACTGAATACAATATTTATTGCACAATTACTGAAATATTTACTCATTTACCAGTACAGTAATTGCTTCGGGAAATCTTACTCATGGATTATTAATTGGAAAAAATCTGCTTGACGCAGCTCTGAAACACCTGTAGCCAACTAGTCCCAATCAATGGCATTTTATTTGTCGTGACCCAAAAAATTGGTCACTCAATCCACGACTGTTTGGGGGACACTGCTGTGCAGAATTGGCTGCTGCCTTTCATCAACAGAATATACAGTCAATCGACTTCACAATATATCCTGTGAAGAGCTTTGAGACGTCTCAATGACATAAGGCGCTATATCAAAAGCAAGGATATTATTATGATTTATTTGCCTATTAACCCAAAGCATTTCAGAGAATGCACAAAATGTGCTAAGTATTCAATTCTGTTGTGGGGGTCGGGCCGGGTGTCGGGGGTGGGGGGTCAGGCCGGGTGTCGGGGTGGGTGGGGGTCAGGCCGGGTGTCGGGGTCAGGCCGGGTGTCGGGGGGTGGGGGGGTCAGGCCGGGTGTCGGGGTGGGGGGTCAGGCCGGGTGTCGGGGTGGGGGGTCAGGCCGGGTGTCAGGGTGGGGGGTCAGGCCGGTGTCGGGGTGGGGGGGGTCAGGCCGGGTGTCGGGGTGTCGGGGTCGGGCCGGGTGTCGGGGGGGGGGGTCAGGC